ACTATTCTATGATTCTATGATTCTATTAAGGCTTAGCTTTTTTGCTCCCATATTTTCAATAATTATTTCCCATGCTTATTTTGCATTCTTACAGTTTGTCCTTTATTCATGTCGAGGATCACTGTCTCTAAGCATGTCCCAGTTTTTGTTAGTCCACATTTGCGTAGTTCCACCAGGATGGCAAATGTTCCATCTGTACAGTGCTGAAAAAAAATGCCAACAGTTATTTCACAGAAGGCTTAATTACTGAAGCTTTTCCTGTAAAATTTTCTCTCAATTCTGCAAAATATTTCTGTTTCTGAAGGGGATACAGTCTCTCCCAAATGCCTGGCCTTCTTTGGCTGAAGATTCAGTTTTGCCTTTTGTAATGATTAGGAACAATGGGAGAATTTGCATTTTATTAATGATATACGTATCTGGAGCTTTTATTCATGCATACTTATAATGTTTGGTTCAGTTCTACTGTCTTTTCTTTCTGTAGGTGGTATCAATGCTAGATATAAATTTCAGATAAAACATTTTTCAGGAGAACAGTAACATACAGCTGCTTTTTTTTTTTTTTTTTTTGCTGAATCATACAGATAGGGAAAAAGGAAAGGAAAGAAGAAACCAATAGCCCCTAAAAGAGAAAAAAAATTACTTGTACATTGCTGTAATTAAATATTTTTATTATAATTAACTTTTAATTTTTCTGTTTCTTTTGACTTACTTTAAATCTGTTTAAAAAAGGTTCAAAACCTAAATGAAATATGTAATTTGACTTGAAATGATTTTCTTTATTTGAACTTCTCAGAAATTAAGTAAAAATGTAAGTAATATAAATTACTTATTTTTTTTCTTCAGAACTAGTAGTGTTATTTTTCAGACTTGTACTATTTGGCCCAATACCATACAATACGGTAACATGGCAAAAATTCTACAACTTGGGAAGAAAGCTGGATTAATCACACTGAAGAATGTAGACTAAGGAAATTCTTTAAAAAGGCAGTTCTTCTCAGCATTACTACATCAAGGAGCTGGAAATTCCCCACTTAACACCATATACAGTTGCATGACAGTCTAATAGTTAACTGATGATTGCCATTTGAATGGCAGCATATGTTCTAGTAAACATCTGGCTAAGTGAGAGGCAACTGAACATCTTTATGTCAAAAGAGGTAAGTTTCAAAAGTGTTAATTGAGATGAACTTTTATTTCTGTAAATGTATAAGGCTTTATGACCTAGTAATATCTGCTTCCCACCTTAGAAAGGACGTAAGTGCAGTTTCCATGGTGATCATAGTATTTTTTATCATATGTGGAAATGTGTGAACCTCCCTCTACTGAACATGTTCCTGGGCATGATGTGTTTTCGCAACGCCACTGGCCTCCATTACAGGTACTGGAAGAGAGAAAATCACGTTAGCTAAAACAAGTAACAGTGGTCCAGAGTATAAGGAATTACGGTGAAACTGGGTTCTGCTGTTTTGCTGCTGTTTTTTCCTTCAGGTTGTAGGTTGACACACAGTAAATCTGGGTTTAAGATTCTAAAACATTGTGAACATGTGATGCAGCACATTAAAAGGAATGACTCTGGAATGCATTCACTTTGCTTATTTAGTTGTTTTCCTCCTTTGGACAGATGAACTCTCCAGCAACAGGTATTGGATGAGTCATTGCTTGGGTTTTGTAGCTAACATGAAGCACAACAACAAATTAAAATCTTTTCTGCTTTGTTGTTTAGATATGTCAGAAACTAACAGAAATGTAACCCCATGTCTATTATTAATGTGGAGTATATATGTTTTCTAAGGTGATGTGGTAGTGCACAGGTACAGGATTAATAATTGTAAAATCGAGGCTGTATTGTGTAATCCCTTCCTCTCTCCACAGAAAATAAGTATCTGCAAATATATAAATGATGCCAACTTCATTCCCTTCAGAGAAGTCCACATGTTTGAACAAAATGAAGAGAAAGCATTTTAATTGACTGGTAAGAAATCTAAACATTTTAAATCCTTGGTTTGATCATCTTGAGCTAGAGGGCAATGCTTGTTAAGGCTGTTGCTAAATAAAACAAAGAATGTTCTTTATTGATATTTTGGAATTGTAGCAGTCAGTTAAATATACGCATCAATTGCCAATGATGCAATTGCACATAGTAAACCATTAAACTCAATATGTGAGAAGAAATAGTAAGTTAGAAACATTACAAAGTTTACCAGGAATGACATTGCCCTGAAAAGGAAGTTCCTGTGGCATATGTGTTGCCATTGTAAACACAGGAGCACTGCTGACGGGGAATGCAGCCAGATTTATTGATGTCATCAAATACAGTCCCTAGATTAACAAAATAAAGACAAAAACTTGATCAATTGAAGAGGTATTTCGTATATGCCATTTCTGTTTGCTACTAATCCTGAATATCATCTTAGATCTGCAGCTGTTGTGAATGGACATACCTGTGCAGAGGCCTGTTAGGACTATGCCAGTTTACACAGTGAAGGTAAACTCCATCTGCTTTGAAAGAGGGTCTTACTGTAGCACAGTGTGTTGTTGAGGTACTGGCCTGGAACTGTACTTTTCTGCTTTCCTGCTTTCTTAATGTTGCACATATATTGGCAACTAATTCAGGTTTCCTTTCTCAGCTGAGATGTGACAAATGCTGGTCATTTACAGCTGTGAGTAAAGGGAGCTTAAACCCCAAGGAACCTGCCCAAATCCTACAGGTAAGTTGCTGCTGTTCTTTGAGATCAGAATTGTGAGTACATGATAACTTGCCTGGAGGACAAAAACAACCGTCCATACAGTGTTCTTCACAAAACTGAGATGGTTCAGGATTGGTGCATGTGTCAGCACAGGGGGAGCCGCACTCCTCATACTGCATGTTGTAAGGACACTTCTTGGCTAAAATTTTAAAGGAGGAGAGAGATTTTTTCAGTCAAAAGTGTTTCTGGTTCACTATGTATGAAAATATTTATATTCATTTAACAGCTAAATGTAAAAAAACACACTAAACTGCAGGTTGACTGCCAGATCTCAAAATCTGCTAACTTAGTCACCGAGTTTCATATATTATAGTTGAGATGTGGTTTCCATGACTACCTGATGCCAAACTGGCTCAGTGACTGAATTTGTGTTGACAAGAAGGTGATGACCCCACTAAGTCAGCAAGGCCTGTGTTTCTACTGAAAGCAACCTTCACATGAAGTGAAATGTAAAACTTAATTTCCTAAAGCTTTAGTATATTTACATTTTTATGATACCATTGGAAGGGCAAATAGTACCTCGTGGGCTTTTGTTCTGAAGCAAATGCAGGTCTGATAACAGTATGAACAGCTACACCCCATAATCTAGTATGCGTTTAATTCAGTGCAAATCTCTGTGAAGATTACAGTGGTGCAGACTCCTCACTACCAAGCAAAGGAGATAAATAAGTACTTAAGACATGTGATGACTGAATCACTTAACAATAGAGAATAAAAAATGCTGTAGCCACCATGAGTAAAGGAAACAGGAATAGAAGCAAACAAGCCTGCCTCTTTCTTCCTCCCTTCTCCTTTATTTGCTTCTTCTGTCCCAGTTAATTAAATAATACTTTGACTCTCAATTAGAGTATCCATATAAGTCTTTAATACTGTTTAATCCAATTTACATTAGAACCGTTAGCTCTTTTGCTGAAGTCTTCATGCTGGAACTTGTACATCAGAATCCTCTGGAAAATGCAATCTTGAATGGTCTGTGATTTCTCATGCATCCTCAGCCTCATCTGAGAGCTTGTTGTTTGTTAGTTACTGAGCATAAACTAAGGCTATCTCCTGTGATACTTACAACACAGTTTTGAGGTTCTCCAGTTCAGAGGATGCCCACCAGCATGAGCACACTGCCGGGAGTATTCAGCAAAGGTGTCACAGATACATGAGGCGTTTTCAGACTCTTCAGAGCGGCACAAATCATCTTGGCAAGCCGTAATGTACTCTTTAACATCAACTAGGTGATTACACTCTGCAAATGCAGAGCTGGTCAATGTTTCCTGACATATGTCATCCTTGGAAAGAAAAAAATTAAACAACAAACTAAACAAAATAGAAAGGAGCAATATATTTGTATTGTTACTTTGTATAATTGTTCTTTAATAGAATCATAGAAACTTCTTTAAGTTGCTGTCTCCCAAGGGCATTTCCTGTTGACCCAACTGAAGCTGCAGAAGGGTATGGATAAGTTTGAAAGAAAAATGAAATAGTAAAAAAATCCTTACAAAAATATCAGTGCAGTTATCTGGCAGGGTAGAAGTGGAGTCTTCACATACTTCTGTTGGCCCATCCATTTTCTGCATATTCCCAAACTGCAATGCTGTAATCTTAATATCTGCACAAAAGAAGTTTAATAATGAAGGTTGGGGTTTTTTTGTTCAATGCAACTGTGTGCTATCTTTTTCTTCTTTCAAGAATTCTGCTCAAGACTGGCCAAGGCAGCTAGTTCCCTTCAGTCTTTAAATTGAACATCACCCCTTCCAAAGGAAGCACTACATCCCTGTTTCAATTTACCTTGCACAGCACCCTGGAAAAAGTAAATACTAGAAAACAACTCTCAGCCTGTTACATCTGGATGCAAACTAAGATTTTTACTAGAAAAATAACAAACTATTTTCAGATTGTATTGAGCCCATACAGGGAATAGAGGAAGAATCTAAACAGGGATTTGGACAATGGAGATAGATGCTGGATAGAATGCTATCCAGCGCTGGATAGAATGATGAAGATAAGATCTTACAAAAATTATGCAACTTGGCAGGCAAATGTAGATCTACCAATTTTAAGACAGAACTGAAACAATAAATGTACTGGCCAGACAACACAACTGCCTTTTGCATTGAATATATTTCTATAGCTATTTCTGTTATTAGTTAAAATCTGACTCATTTTAACAGGGTTAGCTGATTAAGTAAATAAATGATGACATACAAGGAATATGCAGTCAGTTCTTAGCACCAGTACTGTATTTATACTTAAAGTATTAAATCACATTACCTGATCTCTGCACTATATATTTTTCAACAGAGATTGAATCATAAATTCTGGATAAATCATTTAACAGGATATAAAAGATGAATGCTGATTATGTTAGAGTTAAAAGAATACAAAGAAAGCAAGTTGAACACTCCAGAAACCAATTTTATTACTTAAAACACTTACTGTTTGAATAGAACTCATTGTAAATTGGAAAGCCATTGAAGTCCCCACAAAGTCCACAGGTCTGATTAGCATATTTCTCATTCAATTCCAGCTAAAATAATGGACAATAAGTTGATAGAAGTTAGTGTTAACATTCTGAACTATATTCGAGACCACTGAAAGCACCTGCAACTGCTGCCTCTTAAGTATTTTCATCAGATCTGTGTAATTTTATTTAGCAATCTAATCCAAACCTGGGTGATAGAATGAAGAGTTGTCTTGATTTACAACACAGAGTTGTAAATATTCAAGTTATTGATGCTACTGATGCAGACTTACGTTTTCACTGTATTATCTATATTACTCTTAGCCTCTTTCTTTCTATTCCTTCTTCAGAAAGAAAATCAAATCCATAGTAAAAATGAAGTCCTAAGAGTGAAATTCTGCTAGAAAATTTTACCTGAAGGGGTAAGTATGCCCTATAACAATGTCCATATGTTGATGATATAATGAAAGTGATTTTTCACCCTGTTTTAAGCAGATGCCTCCTATCCACTTGATGTAAATTCCTGTAATTTTCTTTAAGACTACCTGGGTGTAAACTGATCTTGTACTAAGAAAGAATTGCTCAACTGTATGAGAGTAGAAGGTAATAGTAACCTCCTAAACAGACAGGGACCAGCCTAATCAAAAATAAGCTCAGGTCTCTGAAGGCACAGACAGGTCCAGGAGCAGTTCTTACCAGGATACTGTCATCTTCATTCCACATTAACACAATACCCATTTTGCTGGCAACTTTGACATAAATGCTGCTTTTCTCTATCGTAATTCCAAATTCTCTGTATGGCAGTTGAACTCTGGGAAAAGGCAGAAAGAAAGCTAGGTATTTTCTGATCCAGATGTTTGATAAAGTGAAAAAAAAAAAGAAGGCTTGTGGTATCCAGCATCTGTAGGAATTCTAAAATAATGTAGTTTTGTGGAAAGAAAAACAATTAAAACGTAAGATGGTATAACATCATCAAAAATGAATATGAATTTGTATCCAACTTCTCAGGATTTTTCATCCAAATTGTATTTCTGAGATAATCTCTAAGGGAAGGATTAATTTACTGTGAAAGGAATTAATAGCAACTTATTCATGTGGGTAAAACTGTCAGATTTATTGAAGAACGTAATTTTCCCCCTCAAAATACACCAAAATACTTTTCAAGTTTGAAAAAAAGTCTGTGGTTATCAAACAAGTGTTATGTATAAACTCACCTGTTGCTGTTGATCGTTACAACATCCTTTGTTAGTTCAGCAGCTACACCTTCAAGTATCATGGTGATACGGTTGATTGTTGGAGCATTTTCCACCACTGTGCGCCTAATCTGGATGTTGAAATCCTCATAGGGAGTGTTGCAATGGGATGCAAAAATGTAATTACAGAGCCCAGGGAAGGAGAATATGTCTCCATCGAAGGTCTTGAAGTGGAAGTTGCCCCATGTGCTGCACACACGACCATTGTGAGCAGGATTGGAAGCTGTGAATTAACACTAGCTGTAAAAAAATGGCTTAAAATTCTCAACCTTCATATTGTGAAAGTCAATTTGCTCTCAGTTTTGTATCATCATTAAATAGTTTCCATCTGCCTACCTCCCTTTGTTATTTTCTGTCGATCTATCCATTATAAAACTGTGTATTTATTCTTCACTCGTATCTGTTACTCATATCTCCCTATAAAGGGTTATAGTTACGTTCAGCTAGAGCTTTATTAGTTGTCCACATTTCAGCTAACACTTCAATATTATGTTTCTTAATCACTGTCTTTCGCTTCTTAATAATCCATGACTTCCTTTACCAGTCCCTTTCCCTATTTGTATTACATTTCTCTGTCTGCATGCCCTGAAGTTGAAAACTCACTGAATACATTTGATTTCCTCTACTTACGTCTTATTAATGGATTTGTCAGCATTGGCCAGATGATGTTTACCATAGCAGAAGCTAGGAAAAAAGAAAGAAAACAAAAACTAGTATAACAATACCAAAGTTTGCCCCTAAAATTTATCTAGAAAGGACTAAAAAGTTAATATGCCAGCTCTAATGAAACAATGTTAAGCCTGTCTTGTGTTTCATAGGCCATGGATAGGTTAAAAGTGCATACTAAAATTCAAAATTGGTATAGTTAAATCATAAGAAATTTCTTTCAACTGTGATGATCTGCATTTTCTACCTTTTTGACCCTCTTAAGGAAGTCCGTTTTGTGTTAGGAGAGGCAGAAATTCACAGCTCTGCATATTGGAGTGCTTCAGACACACTGAAAAATTCAAAGGGTTAAGCTGTACTAAATTAGACTGTTACTGGTACAAAAGCATAGTTGCTTTCTCATTAAGCCTCCTCTTTGTAAGGAGGAAATAAAAAATGAAATTATCCTCTTTGCTCTCTGATTGATATTTTTCTTTTAAGGCACTGAAACCCTTTAGAAATTACCAAAAATCTGTTGTACAGGATGATCACAAATCATTATATGGTAGCAATCAATGTAGTTGCTTTGCCATCTTGATTTATCAACATCAGCTGCTGACTTACAGTTTGCCAAAGTGATCTCATTTCCTTGTTTATATGGAACCAAACACTGTGCATGTATATTCCGCTTTGGTATTATGTATATATATTCATGCACATATGCATACAGCCTCTACAAACATACATCTGTTTTCTTAGTTACCTATTATTACAGAAATATAACTACTCTGTGTGATTAGTATTTGGTATCTATCAAATATACTGTTCTTATAGAGAGAGGGGCTTATTAATACACATGTATCTTTATTCAACATTACTGGCAATATCCAAGGAGGTTTTTTAGGCATTTTCATTATTCAGCAGAGATGTGGGAAATAAATACAAATACATGGTATAAATGAACATACTGTTTTGTGTCTGCTGAATAACCTCCATGTATTTGCTTCCTGTTTCCTGCTGGATTTCAGTGTCAGCTCCTGTGAATAAATTATAAAAAGCATATTAAATACAATGTCCTATATCTGAACTTTTAAATCAGAGCTTTTAGATATGATCAAAGGACCCAGATATAAGACAAAGGGGAGAGTCCTTTATCACATCAGAAAGAAAGAAACAGCCCCCTACAAAAGGTAAAATGTAATAATAGAAAGAGAATTTCTATTACAAGTGCAGTTCTAAATTCAAATAACATTTCATTTATATCTGCTTTCTTTGTTCTAATGACTGGATCACAGCCCTTACTTCACTGCTGCACTAAGTCTCATTAATAGGTGAAACAATTACAGGAAGAATTCACAACATGTGGAGTAGCTAGGTAATAATACAAAAAGGCACAGAACTGGTTAAAAGAAACAAAGGACTTGGGTTTTAATCTGATAATGGCTGCAGATACTTATATTCCAGTTTCTTTCATGCCTAAGCAGAGGGGCTTTTCTTCAGGAGCAAATCTAAAGCCTCAGTCAGGGATCTAGATTTGCCTTTCAGCTGGATGCAAGAAGGCACCTCTGAATAATAATACAAGAGCCCATAGCCTGAGCAGTAACCCAGGAGAAGGAACCAAAAGAACCAGGTTTCTTGTTCTACCCCTCTTCTCACTCTGAAATGGTTCAAACTCACATCTTCTCTGCAGAAAACCTTAAGCATCGTTGTAAGCTTTTTGCTTACATCATTGTAAGCCTGTTTGACCAAGGGTTCTTGCTACACCACCTGAAGCTGAGACACTGTGCCAAAAACAGTGGGACAGAGGAGTAAAATACAGGCCATGGTCATGTGACCACATGATTAGGACACTCAGCTACATCAAAACGTTTCTAGTCTTGTGCCTTGCTTCAAGGATTATTTTTGTACCTCCAGTTAAATGGTTACTGGATTAACTATATGAACAGTCTTCCAGATGAGGTCTCCTCTCTATCATGACTCCATTAGTTTTTAATTCCTTTCCATGCGTGGCCCAGCAATACCATACCAGCGGAAGTATTGGCAAAGACTTCTGAGAGATGAAACATTTTGACCTGAAAATTTGATGCCTAGAAAAAGACTGACCCTGAGTTTCTATGTTATTGCTCTAAGGTATTGTCTTTTATCAGTAAATATAGGTAAAAAAATTTCCTGTAAAAGAAAAATAGGTACAACTTTATTTTGTGGAGGACTGAATCCTGTCAGCATGTGATGACTGTGCTTGGAACATGTTGAATAACATGTACCTGTAACCTGCCACGTCTAAATCCTCAAAAGATTTAGGTGATGAAATTACTAATATCTGAATCCTCATCAGGATTATGTGAATGAGCAGTCTAGGTGTCTATAGAATTTCTCTTTAAAAGAGGGACTGCCTCTGTAATTAGATCTTCAGTTAAGCCCACTTTTTTCTTATACAATAGGTGGACAGAGTTCACTGACTCAGAACTGGATCCATAACACCCATCTTGCTTCAGCAAGACACATTGCTTGCTTCAGGGAGCCACATAGGTGGAGTAAAGAGAAATGCTGAAGTCAAGGGTGTGACATAAACCTCAGTCACCTTTGGTGCTTACATTCCTTGCTGACCATTTCCTCCACTTAAGAAACTCAGCCCAGATACCTCCATGAAAGCTGGACAACTACCTTTGCCTTAAAATAATTGGACCAGGGGCACCTTTTTTTTCTTGTAATTATTTTTCTGATGTAACTCCTGACCATTCCCACCATGTAATCAGATTGATTACCTGATCCCAGAGCAGCATCGCCATATCTAGAAGTTGCTGCAGTGTCTGCAGTTTATTTCAGACCTAAACTTTTAATTCTTTTCTCATTTAACTTTATGAGTGACCTCTAGTGATGTATAAATAAGTAACTTAGGATAGAGTTTAACCAAATTTTTAATTTCCTGTTAGTGTTTCAGTATCACAGATAATGTCATTAGGTAAATGTATTCATATCATTATAATTCATCTGGTGAGAAAAATTGATACTGATCAGGTGAGACAAATGCCTCTGTAAGTTTTAATAATAGACCAGAATTTGCTCTAACCCAACACATCTATTGGAATCTCAGCTGGCATGGAATCATAGAATGTTTGTTTATTCTAGCATGAGAACCTTTATTCTAGCATGAGAACAGAGCAGAATAGTATATACATGTATTTTGGTCTGTTAATTTTTCTCAAGGAAGCAGCAGGGGCTTTTGTTTACTTAGCAAATACATCATTCCCAAGGAAATTCTAGCTGCATTAGTTTATTTAGCAATTGCACAATGCCACGCTGTTGACCATTATAAAAAGAAATGTCTCTCAGTGTAAGAATAGTCAAGATAATTTACAAATTGATAATTTGGGAACTGACCTAATTATTAAGAATATTTCTGGATGCATCTTACTAAGTCATATCCAGCTGCCAATTCACGTATGTAATTATTGTTACAATCAACTTATAAAAGTTTGTATTTGACCCAAAATATAGTCAGGCACAGAATGTATGTGGAGATAGTGTGGGATTGGGCCAATATTTTTCAGTCACTTGGAGCATTTGAAAATATTTTCCACAGAGTGTGGTTCAAATAAAGTGGAGTTTGCTGGGCACTGTCTAACCATTACTCTTTTTCCAAAGCAGTTTATCAGGTTAGCATTGCACAGTACAAATAACTTTCATGTTCAATGGATGGCTGAATATGCTTTTGACTGACACTGTGTAACTCTAAACTTAAGCTTGTACTCTAAATGACTGTTGTATTTTGTGCTTAAATCAACTTGTCAGTATTTTAGTGTTTATTTCACAAACTATAAAGTACTTGTCAGTATTTTAGTGTTTATTTCACAAACTATAAAGTAGCCTAAAAGTATATTTGCACTTGTTAATGTTTTGAAAATGATATACCAGATAAATTTACATAGGCAATCAGAAGATATAAAACTGTTTACAACAAGGCAGTAATTACTATACATGAATGGGACTGACCTACCAAGCTTGTACTCATGCAAGTAATTTCAATTTTAGTGGTCCTGTTGACTTAATAGGGCTACTTATATTAAAAACACTGCCAAGACCAGCCCTGATAGATATAATATTGACAGGAAGAAAAAACCCCATGCAAAATGATGGATTGCATATGCCAAATCTTCCAGTTCTGTTCACACCCAACATCAGTATTTTATATATTTTGCATAGGGTATTATCAGTGCAGAATCAGTTACTGAAAATCACTGCCACATGAACATTCCTTTCTAGTCTCTTTTGCAAAAGAAATTGCAAGAAATCTAGAGGAATCTGATATTAGCTCCTGGTAGGTGACAAGATGCTGGAAAAGATTGACCAGTGGTCTGATCTAGTAACTGGAAATTGTAGCAGTTTAAATTTCATAAAAAACATAATCAACCCTAATACAGAATGCAACAGAGATAAAATACTTCTGTAAGGCATAAGTGGTACTGAAAAACTGACATTTTAAGATGTGATTAATGGTTCTTTTTGGTTTTTGTCTTCAAGGCTACCTTCCAAATGTAGTTATATGCAGTAGTGCAAGGCAATCTTAAATTATTATTAAAATACTAAATTAAATCAGTCCAGTTAATAGACAGACATTAAATATTTAATGAAAAGTAAAAAAAAACTATCAAAACTGAAGAAATCTTGTTTCAATGCAACCATCTCTTAAGTGAAATAATGAGTATAATTGTTTAAAATATATTGCTAGATCTAAACAGAGTATTCTTTTTCTTTTCCCAATAAAAGAGGGTAACTTCTTACCTATCTGATGGATACAGCAAACTGCTAACAGGAAAGCCCATTCTGGTACCCATATCCCCCTGCCAGACCCCATCTTGAGTGGAGTCTGGCACAAGTATGTCAGGTCTAAAGTTGGTCAGGAGGAGTAGTTCACCTGTACTCTGTCACTCTTATATAGTAGGTGACTTTGGCTTCAGTCCCAGATTGATTCAAAGACTCTAGAAAGGTGGAGTTTGGGGGATTTTAGCAAATGAACAGGCAAATAGAGGATGCTCTTCCTTTCTCAGAAACTGGCCAATGGTATTTGCATTCTGGGAGGAGTATATAGATATACGTACATATATTTTGTTAAGGTTCAGTCTAATAAAGAAACATAACATGCAAATAAAATACAACTCCTCCTCCACAAATAACAGGTCCTGGAACAAATTTAATATGGTGTTGCTTTACAGTTATGCAGATGGCAATGCAAGTAACTATTCTAAGTCATTCAAAACTGTAACTGGTGCCAGGCAGCTCCTTAGAAAAAAACCCTACTAATTTCTGAAGTACAAAGAGGTATGGAGTATTTCATATATAAGAACCCACCATTAGGTTGCCTCTTGGGGCAGCTAATCTTCTTGTAGAAAGAACAGACTAATAACCTTGAAGTTACTGAAGACTAGTAACCTTGAAGTCCTGCACTGTCACATGGTCACATTGGGTGTATGCCATGGAAAGTCATCTGTGTGGCGCTGACAAGCATTAGGCACCTATCTGAAGAACATAAAGCTAGCTTTTCATAGACTCTATTCTGTATTTTTGTAGGGATGGGATTAAACCTTGAAATCTACTTTTAAATTCTCTGTATAATCTGATTTTGCCTTCTCATAGAAAATGTCAGGATCAATTTCAGCCAGACGGACAGCCACACACCAGCTTTGTAGGAGAAAATAAATGTTAGATTAACTATGGCCTGTGACTGTGATACATCATTTCAGTATCATTCCTGTGTAATTCCATTTACATCCATGGAGTTATGAAGACTACGTATTAGAGAAACAAGCAAGGAATTGGACCTAGGAGACTTGCCAGTATATGTTTAATGTATTTTTTTTTGAACATTGGCTTTTTACAGTTCTCCTGGATTACAATTTCAAAAGCTGGAATGAATATATTCATTCCAATATACAATACAATTCAATAAACACTGTCAGTATTTCTTTTTTCTTTTTTAGCTTGGCATCAGAGATAGGTGGTATGAATTGCACTGGGCAGATTTCTGTCTCTTTCCAAG